AGCAATACAAAGCGGTCCAATATCACCACTGTTATTCAATATAACATAGGAATCCTAGTGAGTGCAATTAGGCAAGTTAAATATATAAAAGGCATCCAAATAGGAAATGAAGAAGTCAAACTGTCACTGTTTGCAGATGACATGATTCTCTATATAGAAAACCCTAAAGACTCCACAAGAATACTACTAGAAACAATAATACAGTAAAGTTTCTGAATACAAAATCAATATTCAAAAAGCCATAGTATTCTTATACTCTAATAACAAAGTGTCAGAAAAAGAAATGGAAAAAATAATCCTTTTCCAATTGCAACAGAAAGAATAAAGTACCTAGCAATAAATCTACCGAAACATACGAAGGACCTATATAATGAAAACTGTAAGACTCTATTAAAAGAAATCAAAGAAGATACAAAAAATGGAAAGATATTCCGTGTTCTTGGATTGGAAGAATCAAGATAGTTAAAATGACCTTATTACCTAAAGCATTATACAGATTTAATGCAAACCCCATCAAAATCCCACCGGCATTTTTTAAAGAAAGAGAACAAAAAAATCATCAGATTTGTATGGAAGCACAAAAGGCCCACCCCAAAATGCCAAACCCATTTTGAGAAAAAAGAATGAGGCTGGAGGCGCCACTCTGCCCAACTTCAAATTACATTACAAAGCGACAATAATCAAAACAGCATGGCATAGGCAGAAAACAGAATCGAGAGTCCAGAAGTAAACTCATGTTTATGTATGCAAATAATTTTTGACAAAAAAGTCAAAAACACAGTGAAGAAAGGAAAGCCTCTTCAATACAAGGTGCCGGGAAAACTGGAAAGCCACCTACAAAAGAATGAAACTAGACTGTTGTCTATCACCACACACCAAAATAACTCAAAATGGATTAAGGACCTGAATATAAGACCTGAAACAATAAAATGCATAGAAGAAAACTTAGGAACGAAACTCAAGGACCTTGGACTTAAAGAGGATTTTATGAATTTGACCTCAAAGGCACGGGAAGTCAAAGCAAAATAAATGAATGGGACTACATCAAACTAAAAAGCTTCTGCACAGCAAAAGAAACTGTCAACAAGGTAAAGAGACAACCATCCGAAGAGGAAAATATATTTGTAAGCAACACCTCCAATAAGGGCCTAATATCCAAAATGTACAAAGAACTCATACAACTCACGAACAACAAAAAAAAAACTGCTCCAATCAAAAAATGGGCAGAGGACCCAAAGAGACACTTCTCTCATGAAGATATACAAACGGCCAACAAGTATTTGAAAAGATGCTCAACATCACTAGCTATTAGGGAAATGCAAATCAGAATCACAATGAGGTACCATCTCACACCTGTTAGAATAGCTGTAATCAATAGGATAAGTAATAACAATTGTTAGAGAGCATGTGAAGAAAAAGGAACCCTCATACACTGCTGGTGGGACTGCAAATTTGTACAGCTGCTATGGAAAAGTTTGGAAGTTCCTCAAAAAACTAAGAATTGATCTATCATATGATCTAGCAATCCCTCTAATGGGCATTTACCCCAAATACTTGAAAACCCAAATCTGAAAAGGTATTTACACACTGATGTTCACAACAGCATTATTCATGGTGACCAGGACATGGAAGCAACCGAACTGTCCTACGACAGACGACTGGATAAAGCAGCTGTGGTACATATAGACAATGGAATATCATTCGGCCATAAGAAAAGATGAAATACTGCCATTTGCAACAACATGGATGGACCTCGAGATAATCATGCTGAGCGAATAAGCCAGACAGAAAAAGTTGAAAATCACATGATATCACTTATATGTGGGCTATTAACCTAAAAGCAACAAACAAACATGACAAACAAACAAAGAAACACATGGACAACAGACTAGTGGTTACCAGAGGGTAGGAAAGAGGGAGGTAGATGGGGTAAAAGGGGTTATATATGTGGTGACAGAAAAAAATCTAACTATGGAGGTGAATACACAATGTTAATATATATAGCTTACTGTTAAACTGTACAGCTGAAACTTACTGGATTTCATTAACAAATGTCACCATAAAAATTAATTAAAAAAAAAAAGGAAGAAAGACTTTGGTAAACCCTTGCAAAGGCAAGACAGGTCCGGGACATTCTTGCTACAGAAACACCCTACACCAGGGTCAAATTCTGTCTTTAAAGTGGAAAAAACACCTCCTCAGACGCTGCAGAGATGCTCTCATACAAAAGCAGTGAAGCACCAGGCCTGCTCCCGATAGTGGGACAGCTGCGGTCAGCATTCTGAGCATTCTACCCCTTACCTTTCCAAAGCTGCCCACCATCTCCTGCACCAAAGACCGCATGGGAGCGATGTAGATGATCTTGAAGTCATCCACATTGATGGTGCCATCCATGTTGATGTGCTTCCCTATCTCTCGGAGCATGCACATCAGAGCCACGTTGGTCTTGCCGGCGCCCTGAGACAGAGGTCAAGGATGAGGAGGCCTGTGCACCTGGGTGTGCTCAGTGCCCTAACTCCCTTGAGCTTATCAAAGAGACAGAGAATGGAGCATGCCTTGGGAATTTTTTCTGACCATTTAGCGTGTCTTCCATCAAAGAATGGAAAATTGGGGGATACGGGTGGAGATGAACCAGCCTGCCACCAAAAACAGACAGTACATCCCGGGAAAGCAGAAGCCCAGCAGCGCTTACAGTGGGGGCACACAGCAGCAGGTTCTCATCTGTCTCCAGGGCGGCCCGGTACAGCTTACTCTGGATCCGGTTCAGTGTTTTGAAGCCCTCAAAGCCAGCCTGGGCATACTTGGGCAGCTTCTCCACTGGAAGCAGTTGCTGGAAGGGAGAGGCATTTGTATAGCAAGGGCAGCACCCTAAGCAGACTGTGACCTTGAGGGATCGCCAGGACTGCACTTCCTGGCACCTCCATGCATCTCTCTCCACTGTAGGCCAGACCAGAGGGATCAGTATTGTTCCCCAGGCTCAAGATCAAAACGAAAATGCTCTGAAGCAGCTTACACTTCCAGAATAATCTGAGACAAGGCCATACCATGGTCAGTGGGTTGAAATCCAAACTAGAAAGGAGGGGAGCTGAGGTGAAAACTGAGGAGCAATGCTCTCACCTCCTCTGAGCCAAAAGGCTTGGGCTTCAGAGCAGGTACATGCACCTCTTCGTAGCCCTTGCGCTGGCGACGGAAGGATCCATCTGGAAGCTGACAGCGTTTATTAGCCATGAAGTGGCTCCCCTGGGTAAAGACCAAGTCTTCCAAGTCGAGAACCTGCCGCGGGGCCAGTGCCTGGTACCAGGAAAAACAAACACAAAGGAAGTCAGCAGCTGAGCAAATGAGCTTCCAGCCCTCACAGTGATGGAGGTGGTCCCAGTACTGACCTCCCCACCCTGGTCCAGGTCCATGGTTTCCAGGTCAGTGTCCATTCGGGACTGCCGCACTCGCTCCCTCCGGGACCGCTCCTCCTGAGAGGGAAAAGGCAAAAAGGGCAGCAGTGAGTCATCCTAGGCTCTTGGCTGAGCTGGATGCGCAGGTGCTGACCAGCAAGTCCTGAAACAGAAAAACAGTCCTTTACATCCACACATGCCATGGGGACCACCAGATGACAAGAGCAGCAAACAGCTTTAAAGGAACAATGCACAGTGAGTGGATTTCAGAAGCAGACGTTCAACCATTGAGCACCAATGGCTCTCCCCAAGGGGTAGAAATGGGGGTTCAGAGTTCAGCAAACACATGTTTTTTTCCTGTTTTCAGGAGATGCCATGATTTATTGAGTACACAAACAGGACAGGCCCACGGTGCCGGGGAGACAGCGGGTCAGTGGTCTCTTGACCACACCAACATGAATGTGTTGATTCTAATCTGTGCCCCTGACAAACCTCAAAGAATTTTAAAAAATACTTTTACAACTTCCTCTTAATATAACGCATTTAGCTGTACGCTGCAATCTTCTAACTTAAGTCTCTTTCCAAAGCAAACACTCAGCTCAGGAATCAGACAGATGAACCAGCCCGCCTCACCCGGATCAGATCCTCCTTCTCCGTCTCGTGGAGCTGGTAGAGGAACTTCGAGAGCTCTGGGTCGGCCTCCATCTTTCCCATGATCCTTTCCTTTTCAGCTTCACTCTGAGCACTGGCCAGCAAGGTACAGTACAAAACTGCCAACGGCAAAAAGAGAGCAAAGGTGAGAGGAGGGGGTGAGATAAAACCAACCTTCAACCTTGGGATACAAAGAAAAATGAATGAAACATGAACTGGAGCTACAAGGGCAACACAGCTTCCACTACACGCATGCACACGCACACACATGCATGCTGTAGAAGGGGCCACCGTGCACTCACTCATCATCCTGTGCTGCCGCAGCACTTTAATAAAATCGAAAGTGTTGAAGCCGAGCAGCAGCACCAACTGGTTCTCACACTCCCGATCATCGCTCGCTGTCTGCAGAGAAGGTGACATCAGGATTAAGGGTGCAACTGACTACTTCATGCGCTGTCCCATACATTGGATGCAAAACTATGACCTTGGCCATACCTTCAAGATCTCCAACACTTCGTCTGCCTTCTTCTGCGACACGATGGCATCATCATAGAAGCGACTGAGCTGCCGCTGCAGCCAGAAGGCATCAATGTCCCGAGGGTGCAAATCCTTCTTCTTGGAACTCATCAGTTCCCCAGATGCAACAAGCTGCAAAGTGACCCAGCACTGATCTCGCCAACTCTGCCCCAATCACATCTCACCACCCCACAATAGTGCTCAACAAGCCACCCATAGCCCACTTTCTTTTGAGAACTTCCCAGAGGACAGAAAACTTGGCTCTACTGAATTCAGAAGCACACCAAAACTAAGATTTCAGCAGCGCATGCCTTTGGGAAGGAGGGTGACTGACTGAAATCTTAAGGAAAACAAGACACTAAAAGTTCCTCGCACTCGCCCTACAAAAAGGGAGTTCAGTTGGTGACATATCAGGACCTCATACAGGAGAGAAATGCTACTCAGAAGGCACCTGGCCCAGAAGCAGCGAGCAAGAGCAGATTGCACTCACATTAGCCGAAAGGGTGCAGCGCACCACTGCCTCGTCCCCTTCCATGTCGTCATCGGAGGCCTCTTCTCGAACCTCCCCATACACATCTTCGTCACCTTCCTGTGAAAAGAGCCCCAACCCCCACACCTGATACGGAGCTGGCTCACACCACAACCTGTCTCCTGCATCACTGAAAATTAGCCCCATAGTTAGAGCAACAGCTTTGGGGTGAAACCCAGAGCTTACTGAAACCAGGGTCAGCTTATCCAGAGTAATTTAATGCAATGACCTCACTACTTTCAGTCCCTGTGACCCTGCTCCATTAGATGCTTCTTTCTGCTGCTCACCTGAAGCAGCCACAAAGGCAACCCATTGAATCAATCTCCCTCATACACACGATCCGTAAATGAAATGAAGAGAAGCTGTGTGAAAGCACGCCTGGGTAGAAATGCAGCCACACTTGGCGTGCGCACTACCATCCTAACTCACACACCGGCTCACACAGTACTGTGGACTCCACATGGTGTCACATTAAAAGCAGGCGCTTAGTCATAAGCGTTTGTTAAATAAATAAATGCTACAGGCAAAGCATTCTTTCAGTTTGTTGCTACTTAAATTCATACAATCCTATTCACTGTATCACAGGATGGGGATTCACAGTCACTATTTCACTCATCTCAGCTGACAGATGGAGAAACTGAAGAAAAATGATCTGCCTAAGATCCAAGACCAAAATTGGTCAGACCGCCTGGCTCCCGATTTGGTGGCTCCCTGCTGAGCCTACACTGCCCCTGCCTCCTCTCCTAGCATGAGGTGCCAAGGTGGCACTTTATCTTTCAGGAGCCGGGGTTACCTGTGGCAACTGAGGCAATTGCACAGACTTCCAAGAGCCCTACTTGCTCTTATTCAGTTGTACTCAAGAAATCATCCAGACAGTGAACTTTAGTGGCTGCTTGCAGCTGTTACTTAACCAATCACGTACAAAATGTGCCCAAGCTCTTGGGCAAATGTGTACTTTTAGAAAGAGAGAAGACATGCAGCCCTGATGGGTGGGAAATGATCACAGTGAAGTTAAAATGCAGTGATGCGTGGTGGCATATGCTCTCAGTGAAGAACACACCACACTCATCTTCTGTCTTCTTTTTGCTGATGCACATGGCTTATTCTAAGTTACATTAATTTTTACTTATAAGTTTAATTTGTTTTATAAAACCTAACAATGACTACAATAGTTTTTTGGCAAAATGATATTCATGGCCAAGTCTGACACCTATACAACACCATAAAATTTATAGAGATTCCTTACACTAGAACTGATCCCCTTACCCAAACAATTTCAAAAGACAAAAAATAAACTGGGTCATTTGGCTTTATCACTCACCTCCTCATCAGACTCAAACTGTACATTCACGCCATATGTTTCATCAATGTTGTCATCTGAAATGAGGGATTAGAGAACAGTGAACAATAAGTGGGATGAGACACCATGGAGCTAACGTCCTCCCCACTGGCCTGACATGCCCTCACTTAGGACAGACCTCAGATCTAAGGACTCACAAAGACACTTAACAATGGCCAGAGTGAGCCACCACCAAGGCCTTCTCCAACCTGCCAACCTTGGATATGGCCCTGCTCTGCCTGCTCAACTACTTGAGTCCCCCAGGCTCTGCCTGAGTTTTCTCCCATGCTTTATATGAGAAAACTCCAAATTAAGAAATGGCTGCCATAATCAATTTTAACTCAAGAAATACAAACAAGTTACAGGAACTGACGTATTTAATTGTTTTAATGACTGAAGTTATAAGATCACCTCTAGGGGTCAATAAGCAACCAGTTAACATGACCAGGACACAAAGAGCTCAGTTACCCATGTTCTGGATTTCCTTGTCTCCACCGTAGTCTGTGATCTTTTTGCCCAAGTTCACTAGAACATGGTATCTGGTATCATCTGTCTGACCCAACAGCAAGTCGATCTCCTTTCTCCTTTCTTTATCACGAAGCTTTTCATTCTTTAGGACAGCTAGAACTTCATCAGCTGCCCCACACAGAATATCACGTGGCTGGTGGCAAAAAAACAAAAAACAAAAAAACCTAATGACAACAAACATTTAAAACAACAAAAGGCAGACCATCACTGATCTGTGAAAACAGCCTGTGGCGAACCGTACCTCTTTAAAACCTGCATACCAGGTTCTGACCGTTTTCATTAATGCTAATGAAAAATGCCACCAGAATCACACAATTACAGACCCATTTTAAAAAAGATCAAGTAAGTGATCTTAGGAAGCAGAAGGACACAGCTTCCACCACATCTGTCACATTTCTCCAGGTGGGAAGGGCACTGCAGTCTTCCTCTCGCCTGCCTTGTGGTGATGCTCTATCCCCAACTCCTACAGCACCCTCTTCACCAGTCTCAGACTCACAAAAGTCCTTTATCTAACTGCACATGTAAAAAGGGTAAGAGCACAGACCTGGGATAGATACCTGGGTTCTTAACTTGGCTGCCGAATACTACCTCTGTGACCTGGGAAAACTACGTAACTATTCTTTGCCTCACATCTCTCTTCTGTAAGATGGAAAACAAACATTAACAGCACCTAATCATAGAGCTATAGTTAGAGCTGGAAGAGAGAAGACATGCAAAGCACTACTCTACATCAAGTAAGTATGCAGGAAGTATTATCCACTTCTGAAAACTGGTACAGCCAACGGAACATCCACAGGACGAGGTTCTTCTGGCACCTCCCAGGTGGGACTCTTCCCCTCCAAAACCTTGGCCTCATCTTCTGGTTGCCTCACCTGGTCCCCAAGGGCAGCCTGGATGAAGCTAAGCAGCACCTCGTAGGTCTCCCGGGTCTCTTTGGTTTTGGGCTTGTAAATGATGCCCACCATCTCGTCGATACCCTCTGAGAGCAGCGTGTACCCCTTCATCTTGTTGATGTCGTGCCGGTCCTCGTCACGCTTCCTTCGCCTAACACACACAGTGCAATGGTGATCCGGGAGAACCTTCCCTCCCCAAGGCAAGACTAAATCGAGCCACCCTCCTCTTCAGCTTCATGGCACACAGGTAACGTTTAAAACACAAAGCTATACCTCACCAAATGATTCCCATTTGGTCTTAGTCGCTTGCAGGAGTGTTTCTTTGTGGGAACACAGTAACAGACAGGGAATCCTGTCATTCTCTCACTAGGTGCTCTGAACGTTACAATGAGACATCCTCCGCATTTATTTAAAAGAGACAACTCTTTTTATTTTGTACAATATTATACAACTGGGTTTTGACTAGTGCCTCACTCCTCAGCTACATTTTCTTTTTCTAGCCAGAGAAACTGAAGCTCTAAAGGAATCTACTGCCATTGATTTCCACAAATTATAACAAAAATGGAAAAGAGATCATATTTTGCAAAGTGGAAGACCAATAATGCATTAACTCATTTCAAATACAACTACTTTAAACCAAAACTGGGCCTACGATTTTTGAGAAAAACAGAGAAGATCAAGGCCAAAAGATAATAGTGAGATAAAGTTGAATTTTTAAATTTTGAAATATATCCCCCCAAAAAGTAAAAAAAAAATAACAAAAAAATCCCGTCATTCATACTGCGGGTGCTTGGATGTTAGTATATAACAGTAGGAAATATGCAATAACAGAAAGAAATAGGGGTGTTTTTTACTTAAAAACCTTTTAATTCTCATGTTGTTTTTACCTTCACGAAAGTTTTTTACTGCCACTGATGTCTCATCTTGCACTCAGCATTTCAGAAAAACAAAGCTCAAATGCTCAAGGCAAGATGGACTGTGGCGGGCAGCGGGGAAAAGATGGACTGTAGACGAAGGAAAATTATTCTCCCCTTGGTACTCACTTGGCTCTTCTTTCCTCCTGCATCTGCGGTTTGGTCCGTTGAGCCTTATCTCCCATCCGGGTGCCCTCCAGCTTCCCAACCAGGGACAGCACCTCTCCCGTGGGCTCATCCCGGCGGGTACGGTCAATGAGAGAGCGGTCAGCTTGGAGGACAAGATTCGAGTTCTGAAAAGATCACAGTGTAATGGAAGCTCGGACACGAGCAGAGCCAATTCCTATACCACAGGAATATCAGCGGGCGATAACAGAGGAAGTAAGCATCGGGGCAACTAAGTGCTAGTAACCACTAGTCGGAATAAAAAGATGTTTTCCTCAAAAAGAAACAGCGTCGTATAACTGCACATGAGCAAAGAGCAACTCAATCAGCTGCCCAATCCTAACGCTGCCCATAATAACCCACACCCGGGAAACTGCTGGGCATGATGAGGGTGATATCTGGAGCGGGTCGGGTGTATCGCTGAGGGGACAACACCCCGATTTGACCTCCCCTCCGCTTTCGTAGTTCTTCTGTAGGCCTACGGACAAGTTTCCTTCTTCGCCTCCCGCTCCCCACTGAGCTCTTTGCCCGGAGTCCTCCCCGGGCCCATACGCACCGCCTTGTACTCGTACTGCAGGCTACGGGCGGTCACATCCGCCATGGCTGCCGCCGCTCCGGGGTCTCAGCGTTAAGCTTCCCTTCACCGAGACAAACTTCCCCCGCTGCGCGTTCCCGCCGGGCAAAAACTACGCAGGTGAGACGCACGAGAGTGCGTAAGAGAAAAACGAAATCTCTTCCGCTTCCAGGTCGCGCGCCGGAAGTACGGGTGGGGCGTGTCTCCCGCAGGCGCGCGCTGCTGCCCCGCGGCCTTCTGGGTGGGGCGAGCGGGTTCCAGGTTCCGGTATCCGGGGATCCTCAGATTTGGTTCTGGCCTTTTTCTGTCACTTCGGACCCACAGCCTATACTCTCCGCCCATGTCAGGCTCCGGTCTGCGGCCCTGAAGACTCTTCACTTCGTGAGCAAACGTACACATGCTTACCCCCCCTGTCCTAACCCTAACTCGTTCTGCCGGCTTCTGACTCTGGCAACAGTCCTGTGAGCTCTGCAGGCCGGAGGGCTAATTAGCCCTATTTCCGGCTGAGGAAGCCGAAGTGCCCAGCAAGTGATTTAAGGTGTGTGTGCCTGTGTGAAAGACTGGTATCCTCTTTGGGTCTTTCTCCTAGGTTTAATAATTGAATAAAAAGTCTGCCCTGCCTAAAGCCATTGGGCCAACTGGGGCTCCCTATTTGCTCCCAAATATTTGTCACATTCAACGGCAGGGCCCGCTCCCTGGCTCAAGGAACATTAGTGAAGGCAGCTGCCCTCCTGACAGAGATGGAGTCTTGAAACAGTGACTTCATTTCTTACCCAATGGCAAAGTCCTTGGGCCCTTCCCACCCCCAGCCAACCAGTTCTTAGAGCCTATTCCCTTTTGAAAGATGAGTGCAAAAGAGGATGAGTGTTAAGCAGCAGGAGTTCATCCTCACCCTTCGAGGATACACAGGCTCCTCACCTTGCTCCTGGTTTCTCCTACCTGGTCCCCTCGCTCCTTTGTTACCTGCCTGGCCCCTGTAGGTATAGAGTTTACAGCCCTGGCTGGCTTTTGTATATCTAACTGAGCCTTCCAAGGGACAGTCGTCCTTGTGGCAGCTCTGCTCCTCAGTGGCTGTGTGACCTTGAGGTAGCTACCTGGTGTCTCTGGGTGAGTGTCATTTTGTCATCCTTAAAATTGAGGCAATAAAACTTTCCTCATAGGAGTTGCAATTAAATGAGGTAATGTTAAAAGCACTGGCGAAGTGCCTGACTCAGGTGGACACTCAGTGAAGGCGATTAAAATCTGAATCCTCAAGACTGACTTAAAAAAAAAAAAGACCAACTTTTATTCCATGGCCATGCTATGGCTCACCCACCTGATACAAATGAGTCTGAAAAGTATGTCAAGGATTCTGCTCTGTTTTTCTGTAGAGGGGTACTCATATTCACAGTTGAGCTGGGACTGTGGGCAAATCTGTGAAGCAGGAAACAAAGGAAAATTCCCCCAACTTCCCTTTTTTTCTCAGCAGGCTCTTTCAAATATAATCCTCCATTTAGTAATTTAGATGGATTTGAAAATTTCCATAGGACATCAGAACTGGAAGGACTGTGAGAGATAGAGTAGTGTTTCCCAGTTGAGGAGGCTACAGCAAAAAGAGGGTTGTCACACTGAAATGTATGTACAGGAGGAAAAAATTGTGATTTAGAAAACAATGACAGCTATGCTTCCTCACTGTAGGGTAAGGGCCATGTTTACTCCAGAGGTGGGTGTTCAATTGGAGGAGCCAGTTCAGGGAAACTTCAGGCCTTCCTCTTGAAAAGGGTGAGGCTGGAGGGTCTTGGGGAAGGCAAGTGAAGGAGAGAACTAAAGTGCCCTGCAAAAGAAAAGGTAGAGGAGTGGGGATTGGAGGCTGGCATTTAGAGAAGGGAAGAGAAAGGTATTCAAGAAGCAAGAGAGCCCAGGAAAATGACAGTCAGCACCTAAGGGAACCACAAGCAAACTAGCTGATGCACTTTTAGGGAGTGATGTTTAAGTTGCTGCCCATATGAGATTTGCTCAAATCCTGAATAGGAGTTTGCCACACATTGTTGTGTTCATTACTCTAGGAGATTAAGGAATGAAGGTTGTGCCATGGAAAGTTGAAATGGCACAACCTTCATTCCTTAATTTCCACTAGGTTATAGAAGACAAGTCCCCAAGCTGAGAGAGAATTCAGTGAAAACAAGAAACTGGTACAAGAGGTAATGGGAAAATACGATCCTGAGAATTCCCAGACACTTGGCAGTGCAGAGATGCTGTTGTTCTCATAACATGTAGAATGAAGCTTGAGCCAATTTACTGTAAGATTAAAAGAGATAAACATAAAGGTCAATGGAATAAAATTGAGAGTCCAGAAATAAACTCATACATTTATGGGCAAATGATTTGGTACTAGAGTACCAAGACAATGCAGTGAGGAAAGAAGAGTTTTTTCACCAAATGGTGCTGGGACAACTAAATATTCACCTATAAAAAGATAAATTTACACCCCTACCTCATAACATACACAAAAATTAACTCAAAATGGGTCATAGGCCTAAATGTAAGAGCTAAAACTAAAATTCTTAAAGGAAGACGGGTTAATCTTCATGACCTTGGGTTAGGAAATGGTTTCTTAGATATCACACTAAAAGCACAAGCAACAAAAGAAAAAGGTAAATAAGACTTAATTGAAATTTAAAATGTTTATGCTTTAAAGGACATCATCAGGAAAGTGAAAAGACTGATAAGGGACTAATGTCCAGATTATATAAAGAACTCTTACAACTCAACAAGAAGACAACCCAATTATACAATGGGCAAAGGATTTGAACAGACATTCCTCCAAAGGAAATATGCAGATGGTCAATAAGCACATGCAGAGCTGCTCAACGTCATTAGTCATTAAGGAAATGCAAGTCAAAATCACACTGGGACACTACTTCATATCACTAGGATGGCTGTAATAAAGATGAACAATAACAAGTGTTGGCAAAGATACAGAGAAATTGGAACTCACATACATGGCTGATGAGAATGTAAAATGGTGCAGCCATTTTGGAAAATAGTTTGGCAGTTCCTCAAAAATTTAAACATAGAGTTATAATTTGACCCAACAAGTCCACTCCTAAGAATCTACTCAGAGAATTGAATACATGTCTACACAAAAACTTGTACACAAATGTCCATAGAAGCACTGTTCATAATAGCCAAAAAGTGCAAACAACCCAAATTCCACCAACTGATGAATTAATACACAAATCGCGGTACTGTAGATTTATATAATGGACTATTCAGCCCTCCAAAACAATGAAGTACCGATACATGCTATAACATAGATGAATCTCAACGTGTTGAGGATGCCAGAAGGTAAACCGAGGCATATTAAATTTTTAAGAATTTACTTGAGCAAAAATCTATTCAAATTGGGCAGCACCAAGCCAGAAATGGTTAGGAGTGCTCCACCAACAGGAGCTAAGAGAAATTTATAGACGATGCAGAAGCAAAGTAAGAAAATGAGTTTTTGGGCTATAGCTTAGGCTTTTACCTTACTTGTAAAAGACTAGCAAGCAGGCTCTCTGTGGTTCACTGTCCTTAGGTTTTGATTTCTTAAAGTCCTTGAGGCACTTCCAGGCTCAGGTTTGGTTTGCTTACATAGGCTGCCAAGGTATTAGAACCACCTCAGTATAATGGCTTCTTCATTTAATTTAACAAATGAAAGAAGCCAATCACCAAAGACCACACAGTGTATGATTCCATTTATATGAAGTGTGAAAAATAGGCAAATCTATAGTATATTACAGTTGGAGGCAGGAATCTTGGAGAGGAAGAATGAGGAATGACTATTAATGGGAACAAGTTTTCTTACTGGGGTGATGAAAATGTTCTAAAGTTAGACTGTAGTGATTGATGCACAATTCTGAATACAGATTAAGAAATCACAACTGTACATTTTAAGTGGAAGAATTGTATGGTATATAAATTAGATCTCAATAAAGTTATTTTTAAAAAAATTTAACAGCATTATGCCCAGGAAGCTGAGGGACCTGGGAGTACTCTGACAGGCACAGGCCCTTGGGGGACATTAGTGGCCAAGTTGGGCCTAGTTTTCATGCTAATCCAATATGCCCCAGTATGCTGCCTCTCTCCAAGGATAGCCTTCAGAATTTAATACTCCCTGGCCCCAGACCTGGAATAGGGTTGCCCAGGCTCCTGGACCTATTATTTCCGTACCTGAAGACCTGTCACTTCATTTAGTCACCTCTCAAATATTCACATGTACACAAAACTCCATGAGCACTTTTGGAAACTCAGAGAAAAGCAAGATGCAATTAGAACCCTTGAGAAATTTCAGTCTTGCAGAAGAAATAAAACATACAAATGACTGCAATTTAAAAAGCAGAATGCAGTCAGTGCCACAAGGGGGCATCTGAGGCGATCAGAGAAGTCACTTCCCACATGAGACCCTCTGATGTAAAAGGTTGGCTGTGATTTCAGTTGAGGCAGGGACTGGGAGAGATATCTGGGGAATACAGAAAAAGCAAAAGCATGAAGGTGAAGAACAGAGGCATGCCTCAGGGACTGTTAAGAGCTCAGTTCAGCTGAGTGCAGGGCAAATGTAAGACTGGAACCGTGGGATATAATTTGGGTAGATATAATTTATAATCTCTTGAAAAAATAATGTCATCGTAAAGAGATTTTACTTTAGGAGGCAATAGGAAACCATAGCAGGTTTCTGGTTTGGGGTTTGGTTGGTTTGTTGCAGCTTTATAGCAGCTATTTGATTGGGGGGACCAAATCTAGATTAAGCAAAAATTATATATCATGTGGCAAGCATTTGCAAAGTACCACTTTAGCATACATTATCTCATTTAATCCCCATAAGCCTTATGAAATCTACTAATCCACTTTACCAATGAAGAAATCCAAGCCCAGAGAAGATAACTGATTTGTTTGGCCTCACCAGCCTCAAAGGCAGGCCATCTTATTATTTCAGACCCTCTGTACAGGAGCTTCCTCACAGAGCTAGGAAGGTAAGATGAATGGTGGGAGAGTGGGGGTGGGGGGGACCAGAGACAGGGAGTACAGCTGAGAGGTGATGGCAGGAAGTGGAGCAAGAGGAGAGGTGTGCCTGCCGGAGGTGCCGTGGGCAAGGATTAAGGAACATGAGAAATGAGAGCAAGACTCAAAAGAACTTAAATGTGTCCAGGAAGCCCTCAGGATGCCTGAACTCTTGGAGCTGGGAAAGAGGAGTGTTCAGTCACCCAAGGCCCCTTGGTAACTTGTGTAATGGATGGTAAACGCCTCCTGACCTAGGGCTGAACATATATAGCTTACAGGGTTAGAGTGGAGCTATGTCAAATAACTCCAGCTCCACATCCATTTTTACCACCATCTGTTGCAATACATTGGCAGGTATATAGCAGGTTCCATTTCTGGTTGTACTGAATTAGTGTTTCCTCAACTTCTTTGAAATATTCTTGCCTGTGGTTGTTTTATGCAGATTATTCATCGTCTAATTGTTCAGTAACTGCAAAGCCTGCTTTGGCTTCTGGAATAAACAGCAACAACTGGGCTGTATCAGTAATATCTGTCAATTCATCAAAAGCCAAGGAAAACCACCCCAAATCACTTGCCTTTAAAAGGCAAAAAATTGATTATTGGTGTTTCTCCCAACGTTCTCAAGTCTTTGAGCAACTCTTCTCACCACTGTGATGGCTTTTGTGATCAAAGTAAGATATTTAAATGGGTTAATAGTTCTGTAGCTTGGGGTCTCTAATTCATGTTAACAAGTTCATTTCTCTGCAGGCTATGAATTAACAAATGCCTTCCAATCCGACAATCACCTTTGAAACAAATCCTTACTTGACCATATACATACATCTTTAAACACGGCTTTAAACACCATTGGCTTCCACACTCTAAAATGTGTGGCGTTTTTTTTTCATCCTGACATTGTCATATCATAAATTTAAAAATAGAGAATTTCATTACAACTGCTTGAATGTACTAATGCTTAGTGGCAGCCTGTAGGCTATTCTTTGTTGCAAGTTTATAAAGAGGAACTTTGAAACTTCAGTTACCGTCATCCAGAATAGTCTTTCCCCCTCCACGATTAAGATAACATTTTTGGAAGTGTGGCCCAAGTTGTTTGAGGTCCCCTCTGCATTGCCTTTTTTTTAGGACTTTTAGCAAGTATCAAGAGGTCACCACTTTCTTTTCTCCTGGGATGGGTGACACGAAAGAAAGCCGGGGGGCTCATCCTGATACTCCACAGATACTTCTCAGGAACCCCATTCTGCTGGTATTTCTTAGTATATCCCAAGCCTCGTTCTGCCTCCACACTTTATAAAGTTCTCTCTTATACAGCCTCGCGTCAGCAGAGCTTTGTAGATTTAGAGTTCTTATTCCCATGTGGCTAGTAAATGGAAAGCAAAGCCTCAAGCCAGGTCTTTGAAGCCGTGTGATCCTTCAGTGAGAGCCACGGCGATAGGAATAGGGGTTACCGCGAGATGCCTGAGTCTGGGGGCGGGCTGGGATTGCCGCCCATTAAGGATGCCGACAACACATCTCATCTCCTGCACCATTTTGCTCAGGGCCAGCCCGAAATGGGAATACCGTTTCCCTAATCAATTCCTAGTTATGCCACCGTCACTCTCACACCTAAGTTCCCACTACGCATATTCCCCGCTGAACCGAGAGGAGTGAAGGTGATAAAGCCAGCGTAGTGCTCCCTGGCGCCACCCCAGAGGGGCTGAGCAGCTGCAGCAGGAGCGCCCTTCAGCGTTTAAGTTTTTGGCCGCAGCCCCTGCTCTCTGCACACAAACCCTGGGGCCGGGACGGAGGGCGCGTGTGCGCGATGAGATCACTGCATCCCCAAGTCCCGCTCCCGCCGCACGCTATGAGCAGGGTGTGGTTGGGCGAGGTGGGAGGGGGCTGGTAGCTCTGGGCACCGCCTGGACGGCGGGGCTGGGCGGGGCCTGGACGGTAGGCGGGGCCTCATGATTCAGGGCGGGGCCTGGTGGCGCTGGGCGCGGCCTGGACGGCGGAGCTGGGCGGGACCTGGACGGCGGTAGTCGCGATGCTGGGCTGGCGCTCTCGGATCCGCGCGCAGTTTGGTGTGTTCTCAGTGGCGGGCCGCGCACAGACGACCGGACACTAGGACAGACATGGTGTGCTCCCCAAGAGAGGGGAGCGGGGCCACTCCCGCGGGAGGACCTGGCGAGGAACAGGGAGCCTCCACGCCGCCGGGAAGCAGGCGGGGACCGTCAGGCGGGTCCTTCTCTTTAGGACCGCGGTCCCGCTTTTTTTTGGTGAGGAACCTGGCCCCGGGAAAACCCCCGGGAGGGTGGGCAGGCGGGCGAGAGTCCAGATCTCTGGGCCTTGAATTTGGGGAAGTTATGAATGAGAGGCACTCTTTTTCAGCCAAAGCCCCAGGTACCTTGTAAATTTTGACAGGAATTGAGTGAGCCTGAGCAAGGCCAAGTTCCAAAGGGAGGAGAGGCCCCCGCCAGGCTTCAGCGCCCACACGACTGGGTCCTTCATGACCTCGGTAAGCCCAGCAGCTTCAACCTCTGCGGTGGGTGGGGAGTCAGAGGAACCGACCACTGCCCTACTGCCCGCCTTCAGGTGGCCTTGGGCAACTGGTTCCTGGGCTAAGAAGTGCCGCTTTGCCTGCCTGTGGGTAGCAGCAAGCAGCAGAGAAGTGGCTGGAGCACTGTGCCTCCCTGGTGCCCACCGGGGGTTGGCATGAGGGAGGAGGAGAGGCTGAGCAGTCTGATGACACCCGGTGAGCAAAATGAGAATTGTGAAGTCACAGAGTAAGAGGGATGCTACAGATGGGGGCTGGGGCCGACTGCCTGGCAAGAAGAAAGGTGTTGCCCAGGCAGACTAGTGCTTCCTGCCCGTGGAAGGGAGTCTCTGGGGTCAGCAAGGCACGCCTGGTGCCTGGGGTGGACTGATGAGTCGGGTGAGGCCACCCTACCACTGGGACCCCCTCCCCATCCAACACCAGAATGAAAACAGTCCCATGTCCACTCTCTGGAAACCTAAATACTACCCAGGCCATGTGGAAGGAAAGCAGTAGAGAGACTGAGTGGCATATCCTGCTGCCCCGCTTTCTCCTAAACCTCCTCCCGGGCAGACCACCCTGGCTCTGTCCAGCCCCAGCTCTGTGAGCTCTCTGTTCATCCTGAGTAGTTGACCCCCAGGATTTGGGGGTTCCAGGGCTCTGGGGAATATGCACCGGAGAGCAGATGAGCCCCGAAGATCCACTTCTGACTCCCACCCCTACTTCTCCAGATGCAGAGGCCTCCATGGCTGTGATAAGCCTTCTGTTCTTGGCAGTGATGTATGTTGTCCACCACCCCCTGATGGTCAGTGACCGGATGGACCTGGACACACTGGCCAGAAGTCGGCAGCTGGAGAAGCGGATGAGTGAGGAGATGCGCCAGTTAGAGATAGAGTTTGAAGAGAGAAATCGAGCAGCTGAGCAGAAGCAGAAGGCAGAGAACTTCTGGAGAGGAGACACATCCAGCGACCAGTTAGTGCTGGGGAAGAAGGACATGGGGTGGCCGTTCCAGGCCGAGGGCCAGGAGGGGCCGCTGAGCTGGATGCTGGGAAACCTGTGGAACGCCGGCCTCTTTTGCCTCTTTCTCATCTTCGAGCTCCTGCGACAGAACATGCAGCTCGAGCCAGCCTTTGATTCTAGCAGTGACGAGGAGGCAGAGGAGGAAGTCCGGCGGGTGCCCATCACCTCCTACAACTGGCTTGCCGACTTCCCCTCGCAGGAGACCCTGGAATCGTTTTACAGACACTATGTCCAGAACGTCGTCCGTGACCTTCCCTGCACGTGCGAGTTCGTGGAGAGCTTCGTGGACGACCTCATTGAGGCCTGCCGGGTGCTCAGCCGCCGGGAGGCTCACCCGCAGCTGGAGGACTGCCTGGGCATTGGGGCTGCCTTTGAGAAATGGGGTACTCTCCACGAGACCCAGAAATTTGATATCCTGGTGCCCATCGTCCCCCCGCAGGGCACTATGTTTGTGCTGGAGATGAGAGATCCGGCCCTGGGCCACCGCTGTGGCAGTGTGCTGGTGGAGTCGGAATGTGTGTGTAAGCGCGAGAAGCTTCTAGGGGACGTGCTTTGCCTAGTGCACCACCACCGGGACCACTCGGCCCTTCTGGGCAAGTGTAGCAGCTCCATCAAGGCAGCACTCTGTACCGGGTCCCACTTGGATGCATGCAAGACTGCACAGTGGTTCCGGAACATGGTGGGCAATGCCTGGGCCCTAGTGGCCCACAAGTATGACTTTCAGCTAAGCCTCCCACCATCCACCACGTCCTGCAAGCTCAGGCTAGACTATCGCTCAGGCCGCTTTCTCTCAATCCGTTTGGTCCTGGGGGTGCAGCGGGAAGACACCTTGGTCTACCTGGTGAGCCAGGCTTCCGAGCAGGAACAGCTCACCAGTGTGGACTGGCCTGAGTCCTTTGCAGCCTGTGAGCACTTGTTTCTGAAGCTTGTAGGGCGTTTTGCTCCCGAGAACACTTGTCACCTCAAATGCCTCCAGATCATCTTAAGTCTCCGGGACCTTCAGAGCCTGCCCCAGGGAGCATCTCGTCCCATCCTCACCTCTTACCACTTCAAAACAGCCCTCATGCACCTGTTGCTGCGGCTGCCGCTCACAGACTGGCAGCACAGCATGCTCTCCCAGCGGCTCCAGGACATCCTCTGGTTCCTGGGTCGGGGTCTCCAGCAGAGGTCCCTCCATCACTTCCTCATTGGTAATAGCTTCTTGCCCCTGACCATCCCCATCCCCAAGACATTTCGGAATGCTGAGCCTGTCAACCTCTTCCGACACCTGGTGCTTAACCCCATGGCACATTCACAGGCAGTGGAAGAGTTCCACAGCCTTCTGACCCGGGTGAAAGGTCTGCCCTGCACCCCATTGGCCGGGGCATGTTAATGTAAAGGCCATTAAAGAGGGGGAGAAGGTATTTTTGATTCCTCGGGCTGCAAAAGAGTTTATTTTTTTAGATACATCAGTGGTGTATGTGACCCTCACCTTGTGAGTAGGGGCTATGGGAGATTATGACACTCGAAGGAGCACGTGAAGCTATCACAAAGACGCCTCCCCCATGGGGCTTAGTCTAGGGTGGGTCTTCAGAGGCTTTCCTTCTTTTGACCTAACTTTCGGTGTTGTCGTGACTCACAGAGAGCCCAGGGAAACGGGTATTATGGGAGGATCTTGCTGCTAACGAGTTGAGAAACCGAACAAGGGGCCTGTGAAATTGTGTTTTGTATCAACACTGGAAACAAGAGAACCAGATGATACCTCCATCCAACTCACTCCTTCTCGTATTTTAGGATGTAATTTTTACAACCTTCACTGTTCGAAGATGTAACAGAGGTGTTTATTTTGTTTTCTTAATTTAGCCCAATTTTCATGACAATGCAGCTGTTTATATGCATCTGAAAAAAATTCCAGTACTATCCAAATAATTTCTTAGCATTGATTCTGAGAGATTTTAAGTTAGTAGTGACCGGTCAGATAATTGAGATAATGTATTTGCAAAAATTAACTAGCCAGCATCTAATGACCTTTTTTGTGCCTAGAAGCAACATTATAAAACCCTTAACAAGGACAATTGGGAAGGGGGTTCTGAGATGAACAATTGTTTCTGGTGTTTCTGGGAGGAGCCACTTGTTTGTTAAATGGAAAGATTTAGCTACCATGTGTAGCTGTGCTTTTTCTGTCTGGCAATGCCTTTGTATCTTCTTCAAAGATGACAAAGGATTATTTGAACTATGTTTGCAGTTTTGCAAGGCAAGGTCATCACAATGGAGGACCACTGGCAGGACTGGACAGGAAGGGACTGCGAAGCAGTCAGTTCAAATACAGTTGTGCTTCTGGAAATGTGATTGGTGTGTTTTTCCATTCTTTAAAACCCTGGGCATCCTGAGGAGTGTTAGGAAATATGACGATGATTGTGGGTGTGGTTGTTTTAGAAATCCAATGCTGTCTCTATTTTGCATGCCAAGAAGATCTGCTGGGGAGAAGCTGGCCCCACATTTAGCTTGACCTCATGGTGGTCTAGTTGCTGGCCTTGAGGGCTTTGGTTGTAGAGTCCACACCCTCCCCTCAGCAAAAATAAATTACAAGTGTCCAAGATGCTGATGCCAGTCGATATTTGAGACTCCTACTGCACAATAACTGCTGTGCTCCCAGGTTGTCTGCTGATATCTGCCGGTACTGCTTTCAAGTTAAGATGCGGTGATGGTTGGTTCCATGCTGGTGGGATTTTGGTGTTTTATAAACATCCATATGCTTTTTGTTTAGAAAATAATTTGCTGGTGTTTCATTCTAAATCAATAAAGGAAGCAATTTCTGTAGCAGTTGGAATCTGTGTAGTGACAGCTGATCAGCATGCTCACGTGCCTGTTCCCCAGAAGTTCATGTTACCCTGATGGCTTCACCCAGCACATCCTGGTGTTTCTCAGTGGACCTTGAACCTGTTTGCCCTGTGATCTCCCAGCAGCCTGGCCAGTAGCCAGGAAAGGATAATTCAGAATGTTAAGAAACATCTAAGTTACTCATTTTAATGGTACCCAAACCAAAATGTCAGCCAAATTAAAAGATCTTAGTGGCTACAAACAACATGCATAAGCTCTAGAGGGCATAAGTCTGTCAGGTAGAGAGAAGGTGATATGTGTTAGGACTGGGGGTTTCTAGTTTAGTAAGAGGCAAGGAAGAAAACAGGCAATGGTCAGCACAGCTCCAGTGGGGCAGCAGGCATAAGAAGGTATAGAGAAAACAAGTGGTAATGGGAAGAATAGAGCTGTAGTGCTCTGGGAATACTCTTACAATGAAAGTGGAAACTTCTAGATATTTTGGAAGCTGAGCTTTATTTTAAAACAATACCTGGCTGGTACCCAGGATAGAACAGCAGTTAAAGTAAAGGAAATATTAGTGTTCATTGAACATTGTTCTAAATGCTTCACATCTGCTAGGTCATATAAGCCTCACACTAGAACCCCATGCAGTGGGTGCTTTGTCTTCTCCATTTTACCTATTACAAAACTGAGGCACAGAAAGGGTGCACAACTTCCCCAGGGTCACACAGCTAGTAAACGACAGAGCCTCGAGGAAACCACCTGTCCTAGGAGCCATCCAGCACAAACAAGACATAGGGCTGAAAGTGCTTTGAAAAGCAGAAGGCACTATTAATTTTAACATAAAGGGTGGTATGTTGTTTGGAAATTCCAGAAGACAGAAATTGTTGGTTCTTAGCCCAGTCTTTAGGAGGTCAGGAATTTCATATTACATACAAAATTAAAGGCATTTGCTCAGAGGCCAAAATGAATGTAAAGCCATTTCAACTATGTGCCGTTGAGCCCCAGCGACTGTGCAGTTTATATTATGAACTACATTGTGATATAAGCCAGCTGGGCTGGAAGGTCAGGGCAGATTTGAAGCCAAAAGCTTGCTTGCTTAGGTAGCCAGCTGACAACATGGTTGTTTTCACCTAAACCAAGGCTATCTGCATTCACCTTGGGGAAGCAGAAGAACCTCAGTGAGGAGTGAAATGAGGAAGGAGAATGGCCCCAGGATGGCTTTTCTGTTGACAAGGAGTAGGGGAGGGGCCCAAATACTTTATTTTTGTACAGCTAGGGGAATGGAGTTTTGCACACCACTGATAAATCACTCAATCTTTTGGCACCCTCCTCCATAGTACTAACCCCCAAAACAAAAAATGGCATTCAGGGCAGGAAGTGAATGGCCTGCCTGCACCTGGTGGGCTGGCCCACAGAGTTGCAGGAGGTGGAGCCAGCTCTGCTTCCGGGCACACACAGCCCCAAGCAGTCAGCTCAGGAGGCCCTATTACACCCACCAAACAGCCTCATGCCTCACCTAATGGGTCACTTCATAGCCTTCTTCTGCCTGGAGTTCCAAGCCAGTTCTTCAGAGCCTCCTGATTCTGTTCCACCTACCGCTCTCCTAAACCCACTGCTCTTAGTTGGTGCAGACATGGAACCCAAGAGGCTCACTCTTTCACATGCACACAGCAGAGTGGATGAGTGAAATGACAGGGACCCTAGCATACACTGAGCCCACGTGTTCATGGGAGTTTCATCTACTACCTAATTCCTCACAAAGTCCAAGGAAAGAGGGTATTCTCGTCACTGTTTCATAAATGGGGGAGAAAATGTGGCCCAAAGAAGATGCTCAATCCAGCATTTGAACTTGTGTTACAACGTCACTCATTCAATACAAATTTAAGTGCTTGCTCTGTTAGCACCAGGCGCTGGGGAAACAATGGTGAGCAAAGACATGGCTTCATCTTTGGAGACCATGAAATAGTCACCCTAGCGCATATAAAATTGCACAGGTAACAAGTTTTACTAAGGACACTTGAGTATATCAGGGGAAGCCTCCCTGAGGAAGTGATGTGAGCCAACTGGGTGAAGATAAGGATGGAGAGGGTCTTACGCAGAGGACATGGCATGTGCAGAGGCCCTGTGCTGGGAGTGAGCACAGCAAAGGCAAGTCTGAAAGAAGGCCCAAGCGACTGGAGGGCAGGAGCAAGGGGGACAAGACACAAAATGAGGCTGGAAAGGCTGTGGAGATGGGACCCTGCAGGGCCTTCTAGATCATGGTAGAAGTTCCCATAGCCGTAGAACTTTGGAATGGTTTTAAACTTTGGAGAAGGGACAGGTCAGATTTTTACTAGCCACCACCACCCTGGGCCCAACAGGAATGGGGTAAGGGCAGGTGTGGGTCTGCAGCCAATCAGTGAGAAAGTGCTATGGCTGAAAAGAAGATGTAAGATTGAAGAGATTTTTAGGAAGTACAGGGAACCAAAATTTTGGCACCCTGAAGCTGCTTTTTTGGATACTGGTTTTAAGCTGTTTATTAAGAAATAAGACTCAAAGAACCTTTGCCCCCGCCCCCACTTCTTGCCTAAGAAATTCAGATAGAAAAACTTGCTTTAGGAAGGGAGCCCTGGCTTAATCCCCTGAGGAATTTTCATCCTAGCATTAGTCAGGTAGACTCCAAGCCAGTTAGCTAAAAACCTCTTGTCCCATTGTTTGAGTTGCCTGGCAAGAATTTTCCTGCAATGTATGTTCTGCTCTTCCTCAACTACCTGTAAGTAGTCCATTCTCGCTTCTGAAATCTAATACCAGCCCCTCCCCCTTTCTCTTTTGTCCAAAAATATTACCAATGTTACCTCAGTCTTTGGAATTTTCATGCTTATATGAATTCCCAAGTGCATGCATTAATAATTTGATTTTCTCCTGTTATTCCATCTCTGTTAGAGTATTAGCCCAGCTACAAAAACTTAGGTGTGAAGGAAAGAATTTTTTATAGCTCCCACATAAGTAAAAAGAGCTCAGCAATAGATTGAGTGTGGAGAGTGAGGGAGAGGGAGGCGTCCACGATGGCTCCAGGGTGCTGATTTTGGTTCCTGGTTGGCTGGTAGCATTCGCTGAGCCCAACACTATAACCCTGTATTCTTTCCTCTATCCCACACTGCCTTACGCTAAAGATCTGAAGGTGACTGGGAGAATAAGTTCACACAATAAAACAAGTAGGCTTAAAAAGTGGTTTTCCACGAAGAGTAGTTTTCTGGTTGCCAAAATGACCAAGGGACACTGATGGCATTTAGTGGGCAGCGTCAGGGATGCTGAACAGGCCTACACGGAGGGCAGGAGTCCCTGAATGCCAATAGTACCCTTGAGAAGTAACACTATAAAACGCCAGACATGTGTTATAATTACGAGCTGTTCTAGGGATAGTTAGAGATCCCGCCCGGGCCCTCTCACTCCTAGTACAATTCTTGGGACCAGATGAAGCTGAACGGAGGGATAGGCGGCACCTTGCACTCGCCTCACTTCCGACCTTAACCTTTGTTTTTTTGAAGGAGCGGGAGAAAGCCAGGAAGCTTTTCGTAAGAATTTGAATAAAAACGATGGCCTTCATTTTTAAAAATGTACACACATTTTGCACCTGTCTTCCCCTGTCTGCACCGCTCATGGTGGGGTCGGCTCCCGGTCAGCAGCGTCCCACACCTGTCCCTAACCTCCCTGGCGTTGTGCTGCCGTCACAGCACACGGAAATTAACCTGTTTCCTGGTAACCTGCCTCTCCCATCCGCAAGCCCATCCCGTGAAAGCAGAGCCCTCGCCAGGTCTGCTCCAGGCTGAGGCCCCAACTCTGCGTCTAGCACTCGAAAGGAGGGCGTTTCATACCACCCCCAGGGTTCCACGGACCTCCTTCAATCCACCACAGGACCTGCGCCCCAAGACCTGGTTTCCGAACGCCTCACTTCCGCGTTGCCCCCGTCGCCCCGTTTCGCGCAGAGGACCGGGAGATCTGCGCAGGCGCATCGCCTGCTCCGCCCACTTGTGACGTACGCGAAGCCGTTAAGCGAGCTGGCGTCTCGGCGCGCGATTTAAAATCAGCTGCAGAGACGTGGAGGATAAGATGGGACCTCCTTGCCCAGGTGAGCTGGGCGGGCGGAGGCGCAGCGGGGAGGGTCCGGGGCGAGGCGAGGGTCCCACGGACAGGGCTGACGGGCGGGCCTGAGCAGAGGTGCAGTGCTCTCGACCTGTCGTTGGCCCTGCTCTCCGCCGGTCCGGAGCCTGGTGCGGGGGGAGGGGAGGGGAGGGCCGGCGGTACGCGCGGCCAATTGGGACGCGGTCTCGGCGGGCGGTGCCTCTGTTCGCGGGCGGAGGTGGGACTCTTTTTTTCCTGGATTCCTCCACATGCCCCGTGACTCGTTAAAACAGTGGTATTCTAGAAGGCACATTAGTCCAGGGCCATAAAAGCGTTGTGGTTACCGCTGTATGCTTAAAACGCATGCATTTATTTTTACATTTATTCAACAAGTATTGAGTGCTCCCTTTGGGCCAAACTATCTGTCGGATGTAGAGATACAGTAAAGAACAAAACAGGTAAGATCCTGGCCTGTTGAAGCTTGTATTCCAGTTGGGGAGACACAATAAACAAACGAAATAATTTACAGATGAGACTGAGTGCTGTGACTAAGAATAACAGAGTGGAGCCCCTTTAGATTAGGAATTCAGGGAAGACTAGAGCAGAAACCGAAGGATGTCCCAGGCAGAGGAGAAAGTGTCCTAAAAAGGTCAAGCAGGGAGCCTGTCTTAGGCTAGGACAGGACATCATGACTAAACAGCGATATCGCTTAGGTGGGCAGGGCCTTTGTAGGTCTTTGTAAGATGTTTGGGGACTTCAGAGTTACATTTCAGACATGATAAATGACTTACCAGAGAGATAGGTGGAGGGGTCAATAAACACTTAGATAAAATACCACTCAGGGAAGTGGCTCTTGGACTGAGAGATTTGGGCATCATCATCGCAAATCGTAAAACCATGGGAACAGGTGAGAACGCTAGGAAGAGCCTGCAGAGAAAACACTCAGGACCTAATAGAAGGAAGAGCTGGAAAAACTCAGAAGAGAGTGGTATATGAGCCAAGAGTGTTTCAAGAAGCAAGAGGCTGTCAACTGTTTCACATACTGTCAAATGTTAAGAGAGACAAGGCCTGAAAAGTGGCCACTGGATTTGGCAACATGGAAGTTGTGGGTGGTCGTGATAAGGCAGTTTTCATAAGGTGGTGGGGATGCGAGCCAGAACAGAGGGAGCTAAAAATGAGTAGGAAGTGAGGAAGTGGATGCAACAAGCATTTCCGAGCTCAATAACCGTCTGGTCTGTTGAATGTACGAATGTATGATGTCAAGGCAATGAGAAAAAAGGAGATCCCATCTTATCCTCCAGAATCGAAGCATTCTTTGATTCTCATCTTTAGCCTCCCTCTTAAACAAGTTCCTCTGTTGGTGCTTCCTGTTTCTGTTCAGGTCTCTTCTCCCAAGGTCCAGCTCCTTTCCTTACCTTGCAGCACCCACATCCAAATAGTCACAAGTCCTTTTGATTCAGTCTCTAAAACTGTCTCCTGCCTCTCTCCTTTCTATTTTTACTTTCTTTTTTTTTTTTCTTACCTCAGCTGGGAGTTATGTTAATGATCTTCAGCTTTAGGAAGCTATGAGGGGAACATGCGAAGTTCTCGTATTTTTAGTTCTTTTATACCCGTTCCCCACTCCTTTTTCCTTCCCCTCACATGGGGAACCATATTAGTGTTTAGTGTGTATCACTATTTTTTAATATGTTCCTATAAAATATGTGTTATATTGTGCATATGTATTTTTTTTTCATATCACCAGTTCTGAGCCAGTTGAAATGCACATTCTTATTCTCATTTGGAGGATGAAGAAGCAAACACTTAGGGCGTATACTTGCTCAAACCTTCCGATTCTTAAATCTGGAAACATTCCTCCAAGGTCTGTTGGTTTCCTCATCTGTCTTCCAATGATCTTGTTTCTCCCAACTATAATAGGCCACCACACACACTACCATAGTCATACCTAGGCCATGTCATTATCGATAGCTGCTCCACTGTCATCTCAGTTTTAAGGCCCCACTCTCAGTTCCACTCCTATCTTTCCAGTTCACTCCCTCTCATTCTCCAGCTCCAACAATCTTTCGACTCTGCAGACCTATGCTCTTTCCTGCACCTCCTATCTCATGACCTTGCACCCTCTGTGCTCCTCTTACAGGCCATGGTGGGTCAGTGTAACCCCTCCCTCATACACCTGCAACCCCTGTCCTCTTGATTCCTTACACTTGACGAACTCACAGCCCCGCTAAATTCCAGCTCCGCCTGCTCTGCCCAGAGCACCTGATGATCAAGGGGACCGAAACCTGCCTGGCAGTTATGCCATATTCCCTGGCTTACCCACTCTTCCCCTGGATGAATATTTCATACTTCCTTTCTCCCCTGAAATCCCCTCCCCAGCCCTCATCCTTAGCTGTGGAGTTTCAGGGTTTTACTTGCTTCCTATTTTACTATGAAAAGAAAAGCAATCAAAAGAGAACATCCAGGTTTATGGCCATGCCACCCTGAACAAGCCCAATCCTGTCTGATCGCGGAAGCTAAGCAGGGTCAGGCCTGGTTAGTACTTGGACAGACCACTTAGGAAGACTAGATATTGTAGGCATAAAAAAATAAAAAATAAGGGGTCGTAAACTGACAAGGTCCTTGCAATCTGTGAGGTCAACCAAGGCTTGCCTCGCCTAAAAAAAATAATAAATAAAAAAGAGAACATCCACAGTCCACCATCTCACCTGCTCCCTACCTGCATCTGTGCCTGTGTTCTCTGCCCTCTTGTTGCTGTGCATTGGCTCTGTGCTTTCAGCGAAGAAACAATGAATACATTGTTCAGCAGCTTCTATCCTTTCTTCTGCAGAATCTCTGTGAATAATGCCTCCCCGCCTCCCCCTCCCCCGCCCCAAAAAAGATGTCTGGAACCTGTGAATGTTATCTTACATGGTAAAAGGGACTTTATGGATGTGATTATGGATTTGAGATGGGGAGATTATCCTGAATTATCTAGATGGGCCCAGTGTTATCACAATGGTTCTTAGGCAGGAGGGTCAGGGCCAGAGAAGGAGACTTGAAGATAAAAAAAAAAAGAGGCTGGAATGATGGTGGGGAGGGACCACAGCCAAGGAAAGTAGGCTGCTTCTGGAAGCTGAAAAGGCAAAGAAACGTATTCTTCCTGAAAGCCTCCAGGACGGTTGCAACTCTGCTGACAGCTTGATTTTAGACTTGACTCCATAACTGCAAGAGAATACGCTTATGTTGTTTTAAACCACCAAATTTGTGATAATTTGTTGCAGCATCAATAGGAAACTAATACAATCTCTTTGCTTCATTCATTCTACCAAGCTGGGGTCTTTTCTATCTTAAAATTACTTTCTTAACCTTATTTCCCTGTCAACTGCCTCCCCTCATCTCCTTCCATTTACAGATGATTCCTTTTTCTTTGCTTGCAAGTTTCTCTTCTCCCATCTTCTATGGAATCTCAGTTCGTTTGACTTCTCGTCTTCTCCCTGCTAATCTAGAAAAACTGCTACTGTCAATATCCTCCATCACTCTTAGGTGGCTAAGTCCAGTGGTCAGTTCTGAGCCTTGATCTGATTTGACCTGTCAGCTGCATTTGATAGTCATACTCCTTCCTTCCTGAAATGTTTCTCACCGGACTTGTAGGTTTCCTCCCTACTTGGCTAGCTGCACATTCCCCATCTTGTTGCTGGTTCCTAATTCTTTCCTTTAAACTTTTGAAGTATTCTAGGACTCAGCCTTCTGCACTTCACTATCTGTGCTCATTTATTTGCAGTTCTCATCTATTCTTATGGCTTTGAATACCCTCTATATGCTCATGGCATCCAAACTTATGTGTCCAGCCTAGGACTTTCCCAAACTCTAGGCCGACATATCTGCCATGTACCACAGCGGGATGATGACTCAGCTTCCAAAGCCCAGCGTATCCAGACAGCCGGCCTCGCTCCCTCCCCACCCGCAATGTCCCTCTCTGGTCAGGGCCACTCTGTTCCTCGGTTGTTCTGGGTAACTTTGGAGTCATCCTTGACTCTTCCATTTTCTCTCATGCTCACATGTAATCTCTCAGGAGATCAGGAAACTACATCCAGTGTCTGGCCACTTCTTACCACCTCCATTGTCACCTCTCTGGTCTGAGCCACCATCATGTCCTTTATGTGGAGTGAAGGGGGAATTGATTGGACGTGGTGAAAAGGAGGATGGATGAAGAGGTGTTTTAAAATTACACCAGTGTGTTCTCTCACGGTTCTGGAGTCAAGTCTAAAATCAAGGTGTCAGCAGGGCGGCGTTCGTCCTGGAGGCTTCCTGGAATCTGTTTCTTTGTCTTTTCAGCTCCCAGAGCCACCTACTTGTGATCCCTCCCTCCCATCACTCCAGCCTCTTCTGTCCCCACGTCTCCTTCTCTGGTCCTGACCCTCCTGCCTCCCTTGATAAGAACCACTGATTACACCGGGAGATGAGGGTTGCAGCATCTCTGGCTGTCGGTAGCTGCCTCTCAGTGGGTCTTCCTGCTCGTTACTTCTCCCCTCGTCTGTTTTCATTACAATAGCCATTGGGATCTTCTAAAAGCATAAGTTAGGTCACTTTATTCCTCTTCTCACCACTGTCCAATCACTTCCCTTCTCATTCCACCTGAAAGCCAGTCTCTGCAGTGGTGAGTTAGTGAGGCTCTGTGCCCCAGCCAACTGTCTTTCCCTGATCCTGACTCTTTGGAGTCCCTGCTCTACCAGGCCCTGGAGAGCCTGCCCCAGCGCTCTCACTCTACTTCAGCCACGAGTCCTCTCTGACACCCCAGGTGCATCCCTGCCTCTGGGCTTGCTGTTCCCTCTGCTTCCGTGAGCTTCTCCCGAGTAGCTGCGATCTTGATTCTGAAGCCCCCTTCCTGAAGCCTCTCCTGACCACCATGTTTCCACCGGCCACCACCTGCACTCCCCAGCCTTCCTGTCCCCCTTCCAGGCTGCATGTTCCTCCAGAGCGCTTATCTCCATCTAGCACGCCATCTATTTTCTAACTGCTCACCATGAAAATGTTCAAACACATGGAGACATTGAAAGGCCAAGACAGTTAATAAACAGCTTATACTCACTATAACTGCTAGATATTTCGTTGCAAAAACCGTTTTTCCCTTTGCAGTTAACAAGTAATCCATGAGTGATTCTTTGGCACATTCTGCTGATTTTACACACCTGTGTTGTTTCTGCTCTGCACGCGGCTGGAATTAGAACCTAGCCTGCCTGACTTGACAGCCCACGCCTCACCCCGATCTTTTCTCTGTCTTGCCCAGGAGCCTGGGTCTGTGTGTTTGTTGTTTTGTAGTTTGTGAGCTCATCGGAGGCAGCAACTTTCTGTCACCCACCTTTATATTCCAATGGTGCTTTAGGTTAATGACAGTGGACATTTGTCCTGGATGGGCAAGGGAGCACCAGAAACCCAGTAGTCTCCAAGAAGCCCAAACTGTATAGTTTCTAGCCATAGACCATTAGAGTTGGCTGCGATCATGGTGGGAAACACGTAGTGAACTTCTCCACATGGTGGCCCAAGCCCCCTTTAGATCTGGGAAACGCCCTGTTGACAGTTCTTGAGCAAGTGTTTTGTTCTATCACAACGAGTAACTCTTCTTCAGAGACCCGTGGACACCCGCACAGTGCTTCCTCGCCGTCAAAAAGGGTGTTCTCCATGCCCCCGCCCCGGAAGGCCCCCTTCAACACACCTGGCACCCCAGTTCTTGAAGACCTCCCTCAGAATGACGATGAGCGGGAACGTCTGCAGCGCAGGCGCTCTCGGGCCTTCGACCTGCAGCTCAGCACAGACTCACCCCGCCTGCTGGCCTCCCCCTCCAGCCGGTGAGTGTGCCCCTAGCATGGGGTCTGGGAGGGAGCCATGGAGTCTGGCATTGCCACACTACCTCATGGATTCTGGGGCTTGATTTTGGAAAGTTACAGTTTCATGGATCCTTGCCAGAATTTTTGGTTTTTGTTTTCATTTAGGAATGGGGACTTTTCAGCTACAATTCCTAAGTTTACAAACACACAGATTACAGAACATTACTCCACCTGCATCAAACTATCCACTGAGAATGTGAGTATCAGCTGGCTTCTCAGTGTGAATTCGGCAAAGGAAATCTAGCCTGTGTGATGGACGATAACTGCGCGTATCCTTCAACGACTCTTCCTAAGGCTAGCATTTTCAGTGTAGCTTTACTGTTTTTTATAGACCTTTGGTGTGCCTCCTGACAGATCGTCTGCCAGTGTGTCAACATGGCTTCGGGGTTCCCAGTGTGAGTCCTGGAGAGGACAGATAGTAGAGTGTAGAGCTAATTGTAAGTTTTAAAGCTAGCTTGAGCTGGAATCTTGTCTCTGCCACTTATAAGCTGTATGGCGAATCACCCAGCCAACTCTACTGCAGAGTCTTCTGTAAAACAAGAGTAAGAATAGTGCCTGCCTCATCAAGTTGTTCTGAGGCTGACAGAGTCCTTCCGTATGTGGTGCTTAGGACGGGGCCTGTACACAGTCAGCACCCAGGGATTGTGTGCTGTCACTCTCTAGACCTTGAGAATGAGGAGGGACATGTATGAATTTAGCTGTGTCCCCCTGTGTTTATGGGAAGAAATACCCATGGTGAGATGAGGGTTATCCCTGTTTAAAAACTGAGCTTCCTCTATCAGGGTAGCATTATTTACATGAGCCTGGGCTATAAATAACAAACCTTTCTGCAATTTTCTCTTTCTAGAAAATCACTACCAAGAATGCTTTTGGCTTGCACTTGATTGATTTCATGTCGGAGATTCTTAGACAGAAGGACACTGAACTGACCAACTTTAAGGTGAGATAGGCGCCTACTCCCTCCTGACCCTGAGCGGCTGAGTGACAGGCAGCACAGCACAGACACGGAATTCTACAGATGCTTCAGCGTCTTCTGTGTGTAGGACATTTTATTAGCCATTTTACCCTCCTTCTTAAACTGACAAAATGGGCACAAGCTATCTTTCTGTTGTCCCTTCTATTTCTTGTCAGTCTTAGGGAACTATGCCATTTTTTTTTAAAGGCAGGTAAGTATTTTCTGTGTTTTGTGTTTCTGTGTTTTGCCTGCTCAGCAGTTCTTTTTTGTGCATCCCCATGAGTATAGCTCTGCTTGTCTGACCAGGTAGCTGCAGGCACTCTGGACGCCAGCACCAAGATCTATGCTGTGCGGGTGGATGCTGTCCACGCCGACGTGTACAGAGTCCTCGGGGGACTGGGAAAAGATGTGCCATCTTCGGAAGAGGCAGAGAGCCATGGCACAGGTACACAAGTGGGGATCCAATGAAGGTGAGGGCTTTTTAAAGGGCATAGCCAATTGGTTATTCTTTGAGTAGTACACTGAATGAAGTCACAAGAAAGAATTACCTCATTCTGGTGAAGACATAGACATTTTCAGCAGTGTCAATGATAAGATACTCAAACACTACATTTTGGGGATCTTTGGAAATTGACTTCGGTTAGAAGCCAAATGCTTAATCAAGTAGTTTGGTTTCTCCATCAGCTGCAGCTCAGATGGGCCTGTTGCTGGAGAGAATGGTACATATTTAAGTTACAATCACTTGAGAGTATTGAGGAACTTGAATCAGCAAGTTCACTTGCATACTCCAGCACAGTCCTCACGGTCTTATTCCTTCTATAGACAAAAGTGTGACTGAACCAGGAACAACCAAAAAGGCTCCAAAGCCAAAGAAGAAGCACTCACACAAAACCATCGAGCAGAATATAAACAACCTCAACATCTCCGAGGCAGACCGGAAAAGTGAGGTGAGGAGCCGTGCTCAGTGTGGTCTCTGACTCATTTAGGGTTTGGGCTGAGCATGTCCTGCCAGTTTGTGCTTGGTTAGGCCTCAAGGGAGTAAAATATTCAGCTGGTCTCTGCAGTGTTGTCCTCTAGCCTTGCAAAGAAGACCGAAGGGGGCAAGTCCCTGCTCTCCCTCAGTGTTTCAGAATGACTAAGTAGGAAAAGGATGGCAAGTTACCAAGAAATCTGATCGATTACACCATTTATTTACTTTCCTAGTACATGCAGCAGCAGTGGCATAACTGACATCGTGTACTTGCTAGGCTCCCTGTGCTACCTTAAGCCTGTGGCCCGTGTCAATTCACTTAACCCTCACAACATCCTTGTTACATTTTATGAAGAGGTGATTAAGGTGCACGGCTGTTAAGCCTTGGCCAAGATGACTGGTCAGTAGGCCAGGATGTGAAGCTAAGTGGTCTGGCTCCGGAGTCCTTGCTCTAGGCAGCCAACCACCTGGCCAGTCCTAAGGACATCTGCTTAGAGGAATGCTACCAGGGCGTCATTTATAACTAGCACAGTGAATTTGAAACTAACAGGTGTTGTCACAATTTTTTTTTTTTTTTTTAATTTTGTTGTTAAAAATCAGTATTTCCAAGAACATTCTTATACATATTATTTTGCACTCTTCTGGGAGCGTATCTATGAGGATTCTGAAACGGAATTTCCACTGCCCTCAAAAAGAGTTGTACCAGTTTACACTCCCTCCAACAGTGAACTAGATTACTTCTTTCTTCTACCTACACAACATTTGTAAATGGTAAGTAAGGTCACGAGGCTGGACTTGACCAAGGGAAAG